GTTCCTTTCCCTCCTCACACACCATACAATGCATGTCAAGATAAGATTCCAAACTAACTTTCTATCTTTATCACAAAGTTTCCTCCTCCATGCCCTCAACACTTCCTCTATACGTCTAGGCAACACCCAAACTATATGCTGAGAAGCCAAAATACTATTCCACGGTCAACGGACACTGTCACAGTGAATGAATAAGTGTTCATGCGTTTCCCCATCGTTCCTACACATATAGCACCACTCAGTAATATAAAAACCTTTTTTTTCGGAGATTATCCATCGTTAATGCCTGTCCTCTCCTCTTACAACCGTTCACAGTAAAAATGCCACCTGTGGAGGCAATTTGCAATGTCACACCATCATCCAGAGGAATGAACTCTCCACAGGTCCCATGAGAGATCTAAAATAAGAGCGAATTGAAAAAATGTCATTCCGTGCCTCTGGTTAGTTATTTTTGGGCTATCAATATGCAAACTCATTAATACTATTATTTTATTTCAGAAAAAATGTCCTAAGCAAGAACTAACTAGTACGAGATAATTATATTGATTGGAAATGTAACTTAATGATTGTTTTGGCTACTGAGAAGCATAAATTTGTGTTGGATGAAACCCATCCTAACAAGCTGACCGAAGAATCAACGACTAAATAGAAAACTGCATATAAGAAGTGGGTTCAATCTGATGAGATGGCTCGATAGCTTGCCATTAGGTCCATCATGAACATGCGCATAAAACCAAGGATGCTCGTGAGAGATTATATGCTCCCATTGATCGCTCAGTTTAACGTAGCAGATGTTTTAGGGGCTAAAATCAACCTGGAGACGCAAGTTGACATGGATTTAGAAAGTCTCCTAGAGATGTTCTCACAATTCAAGGTTAATTATAACATGAACAAGCTTCATATGTCCCTGACCGAGCTGATGAAGGAGCTCCAAAATGCTGAGGCTCTTTTAAAGACTAAGAATGGCGAAGTCCATGTTGTTTCTTCTTATCGACCATCCTCTTCCAAACCGAAAGGCGAAAGGCAAATCAGGTAATAAGAGGTAGAAGTCAAAGAAGAAGGGCCCATAGCAACATGCCAAGAAAGCAAGAACAGATGGAAAATCCACGGTGAAGTGCGTTCACTGTGGACAGAAGGGTCACTAGAAGAGGAACTGTCCAGAATACTTAGCTTCCAAAAGGCCAAGAAATGGTATGTTATGGTACATTGAGTCATATTTAGTGATTGATTCTACAGATATCTGGATAGTAGATTCTGAATCCACTAATTATTTTTGCAATTCTTTGTAAGGTTCTAGGTAACCAAGGAGCTCAATGACGAAAAGTTCACTCTTATAGAATGTAGTGGGGAGCTAGTGTCTACTAGAGCTATAGGATCTATTTTTCTAATTTCTCATCTAAAAGAAATTTAATTTCCGTAGCTTGTTTATTTAAGTATGGATATTCAGTTATTTTTGGGCGATTTGCGCTAGATATTAAATTGAATAAATCTCTTATTTGTCATGGA